CATCCGCTTATTAGGCACGGCTGCAGCCTTAATCCATCGTGACAGGTGTTTTGTCATTATCACGATGTAATGATTCCCACTGGTTGTCACCGGAAAGGGGCCAATGACGTAAATTAACACACAAAACGCCGAGTTCTGAGAAGGGAATACGTTTCGTAGAATGGGTTGCCCCTGTCGTATCCGCTTTGATCAGTTTGTAACGCTTACAGAAACCAAATAATCCATCACTCCACTTCTCATCCCGGGCCACTAGGCCCTCTGTCGAAGTAAGACTTACATCTTGGTGCACCCTGTGTGTGCCATCTCATAGCATTTGCAGATAAGACTCCGTCTCATGAAGCGAGATTTCACCACATCAACCGAATCAGTGGCGTTTCAGGAATTTATGCCAGCTTCATTCAGCCTCAGCCGATAAGAGACTCTGGAATGTCTCTACTTCCTTGTCTACCTCTCCGTTCTCAATGTTCCTTCCATCCCACAATTCGGCTGAAACCTTTTGTAACAAGATCCTGTCGTTATAATTTCACCAATTTGCGGGATCCAGTTTGACGATGAGATCATCGACTCCAATCATGATCTTGGGGACCTCATCTTCAGCATCTGCTCCTGACAGCCAGTCAGCCAGGTGGTGCTCCCTCCCTGGCACGTGCTAGATTGTGAAGTCGTACTTTTGCAACCGGAGCGCCAGCGAGCGAGCTTCCCGCCAGGATCCCTGGTAGTCCTGATCCATTTCAGAAGTTGTGATGGGTTTCGACATGAAACATTTGGCCAAAAAATATGGCCTCCACTCATCAAGGGCCCAGATAATCGCTGAACATTCCTTCTCAATTGTAGAGTACTTCTGTTCAGCGACTGGCATTTTCGATAACCTCATTCCTCTGCTTCAGAACTGTTTTGATCCCGCAATCACTGGCTTTCGTTCCAACGGTGAACATCTCTCCCACCCTGGGCAGTTGGAGGGTCAGTTGGCGATTCTGCGTCCGCGCTATGACAAGCTCAAAAGCCTCATTTGCTCCTCTGGTTCAGTCCAATTTCCGAGTTTGCCCGAGCAAGTCGTACAGAGGCGCAGTGATCTTGTTGAAGTCCTTAACCCTCAGGCTGTAGTACGCTGGTCGTCGAAGAAACTACCGGAAAGACTGCTTTGAATTGGGAACAGCACAATACTAGATCTGTGCATTTTTTGGCAGTGCGCTAACTTCACCATTACGCAATTTATGCCTCAGCGGTAACACCGAACTTAGCTTGAGCTGTGTCCTGGTCTGATTTATCCGCAGACCAGCTTCTCGGTTCGCTTCGATACAGCCCTCAAGTGAACCATGTGTATCCGAATTGCAGTACACAGCGATATCGTCTGCGGAAACGACAACATTCTGGGTTTCCTTACGTTACGCGAAGCACCTAGCGCCGAAATATGAATGATGCCCCAGACAAACCAAACGGCATTCGTCAAAATTGATATTGGGTAGCCTCAACCTTAAGCGCCTCTTTCTCTTGGTCTTCCGCCTTGCTTGGAAGTTGCCAGTATTCGGAATACAAATCAAACACAGTGAAATATCGGGAATGCTGAAGAGAATGGCCAATCTCCACAATCGAAGGCACAGCTACAACCCGATTTAAGGTCAATGCATCCAAGTGCCGGAATTCCACGCAACACCTGTATTTTCCGTTCGCCTTCCATACAAGCCCAACCAGGGAGTTGTACGCTCTATTGGCTTCTTTGATTATGCCATTATTTAACACCTTTTCAGTCTGTTTTTGGACATTCTCCAGCAGATGGAGCGGCATCGGGCGGGGGGCCGTAAGGTAGAAAGCGTTCTGACTACAGGGCATTTTCGTGTTCATTCCACGGGCAGAAGCAAAGCGGATCCTCATCACCCGTGAACACTTCGGAATATTGCTTAGCCACGGAACGTACTGACGGTGAGCTGCAAGACGGACGTTTTCGGACACGCAACTCACCCACGGCAGCGCTGGAATAACCGTCAAACTTGATTGCGCCATACATTGTCACAAGATTAACTTGACTTAGGTCAATCGGGGAATCTGTGGCCTTTAGAGAATCTATAGCTCGGCTGATCAAGAACGCACGCTGTACAAAGTTGTCACCTAGGCGCATCGGCTGCGTTGACAATCAATGAATCTTCATTCGATATCCACCCACTGCTAGCATGACTAGCGCGCACGGTCTGCGTTCAGCTTTGTTCGTTCTCCACCTCAACGATAAGCCTTCACCTGAGTCAGTCAAACATAACTCATTCTTCCCGTCAATCTGGATCATGGCCCGTATGTTGGATTGTTTCAATGCGCTAATCGCGACCCACTCAGGAAAAGAAGAGCGCTCAAAATTTTTTATCAGCTGCAGGTGATCGAGTGCGGGGACACTGATTGTTCCAGTGGCCAGACGTGCCACACATCTAAACCGTCTGGTTTGAGCGTGTTCCGTCTCCGCCATCCGCTTATTAGGCACGGCTGCAGCCTTAATCCATCGTGACAGGTGTTTTGTCATTATCACGATGTAATGATTCCCACTGGTTGTCACCGGAAAGGGGCCAATGACGTAAATTAACACACAAAACGCCGAGTTCTGAGAAGGGAATACGTTTCGTAGAATGGGTTGCCCCTGTCGTATCCGCTTTGATCAGTTTGTAACGCTTACAGAAACCAAATAATCCATCACTCCACTTCTCATCCCGGGCCACTAGGCCCTCTGTCGAAGTAAGACTTACATCTTGGTGCACCCTGTGTGTGCCATCTCATAGCATTTGCAGATAAGACTCCGTCTCATGAAGCGAGATTTCACCACATCAACCGAATCAGTGGCGTTTCAGGAATTTATGCCAGCTTCATTCAGCCTCAGCCGATAAGAGACTCTGGAATGTCTCTACTTCCTTGTCTACCTCTCCGTTCTCAATGTTCCTTCCATCCCACAATTCGGCTGAAACCTTTTGTAACAAGATCCTGTCGTTATAATTTCACCAATTTGCGGGATCCAGTTTGACGATGAGATCATCGACTCCAATCATGATCTTGGGGACCTCATCTTCAGCATCTGCTCCTGACAGCCAGTCAGCCAGGTGGTGCTCCCTCCCTGGCACGTGCTAGATTGTGAAGTCGTACTTTTGCAACCGGAGCGCCAGCGAGCGAGCTTCCCGCCAGGATCCCTGGTAGTCCTGATCCATTTCAGAAGTTGTGATGGGTTTCGACATGAAACATTTGGCCAAAAAATATGGCCTCCACTCATCAAGGAGATAGATAATCGCTGAACATTCCTTCTCAATTGTAGAGGACTTCTGTTCAGCGACTGGCATTTTCGATAACCTCATTCCTCTGCGAACTGTTTTATTTTCGATAACCTCATTCCTCTGCTTCAGAACTGTTTTGATCCCGCAATCACTGGCTTTCGTTCCAACGGTGAACATCTCTCCCACCCTGGGCAGTTGGAGGGTCAGTTGGCGATTCTGCGTCCGCGCTATGACAAGCTCAAAAGCCTCATTTGCTCCTCTGGTTCAGTCCAATTTCCGAGTTTGCCCGAGCAAGTCGTACAGAGGCGCAGTGATCTTGTTGAAGTCCTTAACCCTCAGGCTGTAGTACGCTGGTCGTCGAAGAAACTACCGGAAAGACTGCTTTGAATTGGGAACAGCACAATACTAGATCTGTGCATTTTTTGGCAGTGCGCTAACTTCACCATTACGCAATTTATGCCTCAGCGGTAACACCGAACTTAGCTTGAGCTGTGTCCTGGTCTGATTTATCCGCAGACCAGCTTCTCGGTTCGCTTCGATACAGCCCTCAAGTGAACCATGTGTATCCGAATTGCAGTACACAGCGATATCGTCTGCGGAAACGACAACATTCTGGGTTTCCTTACGTTACGCGAAGCACCTAGCGCCGAAATATGAATGATGCCCCAGACAAACCAAACGGCATTCGTCAAAATTGATATTGGGTAGCCTCAACCTTAAGCGCCTCTTTCTCTTGGTCTTCCGCCTTGCTTGGAAGTTGCCAGTATTCGGAATACAAATCAAACACAGTGAAATATCGGGAATGCTGAAGAGAATGGCCAATCTCCACAATCGAAGGCACAGCTACAACCCGATTTAAGGTCAATGCATCCAAGTGCCGGAATTCCACGCAACACCTGTATTTTCCGTTCGCCTTCCATACAAGCCCAACCAGGGAGTTGTACGCTCTATTGGCTTCTTTGATTATGCCATTATTTAACACCTTTTCAGTCTGTTTTTGGACATTCTCCAGCAGATGGAGCGGCATCGGGCGGGGGGCCGTAAGGTAGAAAGCGTTCTGACTACAGGGCATTTTCGTGTTCATTCCACGGGCAGAAGCAAAGCGGATCCTCATCACCCGTGAACACTTCGGAATATTGCTTAGCCACGGAACGTACTGACGGTGAGCTGCAAGACGGACGTTTTCGGACACGCAACTCACCCACGGCAGCGCTGGAATAACCGTCAAACTTGATTGCGCCATACATTGTCACAAGATTAACTTGACTTAGGTCAATCGGGGAATCTGTGGCCTTTAGAGAATCTATAGCTCGGCTGATCAAGAACGCACGCTGTACAAAGTTGTCACCTAGGCGCATCGGCTGCGTTGACAATCAATGAATCTTCATTCGATATCCACCCACTGCTAGCATGACTAGCGCGCACGGTCTGCGTTCAGCTTTGTTCGTTCTCCACCTCAACGATAAGCCTTCACCTGAGTCAGTCAAACATAACTCATTCTTCCCGTCAATCTGGATCATGGCCCGTATGTTGGATTGTTTCAATGCGCTAATCGCGACCCACTCAGGAAAAGAATTGGAGGTTGCTTCTAATTTCGGCTCAGTTACAGTAAAGCTCGGATGCGATTTAAAACTTCTGAAAGAAAACTGACGTGTTTATGGCAGACAGAAGAAACCGGACCACACTTCTACTGAAATGTCCACAGCTTCCTAAAACAGTTGAATGTAAATCTGTAGAGGGGAACGCCTGATCGACGAACTGTATTGCGATAAAAAAAACAATTTTAATGGTAGCTGCCCTCAGTCCAGGATTCAATACAAGCTAGAAGTCCCGTTTCTTTCCATAACGAACAGAAATTCCAAGGGGAGTCGCCAAAACTTGGAAATCTGTTCTTCTGGCCGAATAAAATGAGCGGTTTCAACGGCGTTTTAAGAGCAACGCTGAAGAAAGGAGATTCAGTCGTCTTCAAAGTTTTGAGACGTATTTTTGATGGTCCTATTGCTTTGTAAACAAAGAATTTTGTCAACTGAAACGTAGATAAAAGGACCTCCAAATATTACCGATTGTTGACGGAGGGTATCTTGCGTAGCAGAGTAAATTACGCTGGAGCCTTGCGTGAATAAGCCACCATAAAGTTGGGATACATGAAATCGCCCTATCGCTTTCGCCTTTCTTGGAAGAATAATGGGGAAATTCAATCTTGGACGAAGAATTCGCTAAAAATGTGCCTAAAATATACTAAATGCTGTAGGAAGGAATATAATAATATCCTATTCATCAAAGCATGCGAATAGGTACAATAACAATGGAGTTCAGAGAAGAATGACAGATTTCGTTGTATGGAACATATGACCATCACATTAATCCATCTCTCTTGTAAACTGTAGACCTAGAATTAACTGCAGATTGTGTGTGCGTAAGCTAATTTGTGGTTTTGATGTTGCTAACATAAGAGACTAGAAGTATAGCTGCAATTTCGCGTCGAATTTTTTAACAGAGCAAGCCAGGTTCTCTGCAGTCAGAAGTATACCCGTGTCAGCGTTCCACTATATGAATAAACGTTTCGCACTTTAACAGCAATGCAGTTTACACCAACTTCTGTAAGAGCCGTACACTGATAATCAACATCAGCCTCGACGCACTCGTCAGTTGGTCAAGATGGCATGCAAAAATTATCCTTTTCATCTAATCAAGAGCATTTCAAGCTTCAAGATGACACACGGGGGGCTATCAACATCTTCCGATGATCTATGTCTTGTCTTGGTCATCCCCCACAGTTAATTGCTTCTTTACAATCTAGCATTTGTCTTCAAACTCAAACAAAAGGTGACCACTGAAAACCAAAATAAAACTCACTTCAGAATCACCATAAGGCTGAGCAAGTGTTGTCACCAGAGCTGTTTGTTCCTGTTCATGAAACATAGTTTCAGGATCTGCATTCCAATCTATCAGGTGCCCTTCAACGCGTTCACGGTGGGATAGAGGCGTAGAATTTTCGGTTGTTCGTAGATAGGGAGACGTGTGCCTTGGAGATACCGAGCCATCAACAGTTACAGGTTGATCTCCAGAACGAAGATTTGACTGACCCTTTCCTTCTTCCTCTTCCTCACCTGTAGAGACAAGAAGAAATATTCAGTGTTTCATCTTGGTACCGATGACAACATCGGATCTGTTAAAACAGTACCATTTGATCTCATACACATAATTCCCTCCATAGAGATAAATACAGTGTATCCTCCGAAGTAGGAAACGTTCTCCACTCACTGAAAAAGACACTTCATCGCATTCTATGAGAGTTCGGCGATTTCGGCCACACTATTACCTAACGGGGATCGTCTTCTAACTCGATCAGTTTGTGCCTGCTTAGATGGGGATCACCAGAAAAATATTCGACGAAGACGATTCAACAAACTCGAAGCTAATCAAAGAGTATCACCGGAGAGTAAAGGGCTGGATTTGGTCAAAAAAGGGCGTGCGTCTCGGTTGCCTCGCAACTCGTCATTACCACCGAAGAAGTGAGTAGAAAAGTGAACGCCAGTAATAGCCAGCTAGTTGAGTTAAACAACGTGGGTGTAACGGTGATACTACTGATGGGGAGGTACGCGAGTAGTATGTGTTGTTCTTGGAATTTCGCTTTGCGTCTCCTGGAAAGGGGAGATCTGTTGCGGAATTTGTAGGGTCGCTTTGTAACATTTACTTGGATTCGAGAGAGGAATGATTGGAGTCAATGAAAATCCAGCAAACTTGAGTTAAACAACGTGGGTGTAACGGTGATACTACTGATGGGGAGGTACGCGAGTAGTATGTGTTGTTCTTGGAATTTCGCTTTGCGTCTCCTGGAAAGGGGAGATCTGTTGCGGAATTTGTAGGGTCGCTTTGTAACATTTACTTGGATTCGAGAGAGGAATGATTGGAGTCAATGAAAATCCAGAAAACTTCAAGGGGACGCGTTCAGGAGAAGATGGGTTTCCAGTTTTTGTAAATAGGATGCAAATGAGAGTTTTGCTTCCCTGTCCAATGGTCTGTAACCGGTTAGTTGGCATTTTCTAATAAACAACTCCGCGGCGAAGGCCCTCTTCCTTTCATGGGCAGCATTTCCACACCAGGAGAGGTTTGAGTGCTCTGACACGTAGGTTACAATGTCCTAAGAACCCTATGGGACTTAAAAAGAGACAGTATCGGCTTACTCTGTGTGGCTGAAAGGTAGAACTTTGAATGACAGGGTGGTGACGCAAAAGAGTTGCTCAAATAGAAGAGTTCTCAAGAGAAAATATCACATTCGTCCTTAGGGCGTTGCTCGTCGTGAACAACCTACATTCCAAAAAAGATTCAAATACAAGAAGAAGGGCAAACAATGATAACCGATTCATCTCCAAAACGACTCAAACGTCGTCTAACGGCCAGAGTAAACTACTAATACCTTTTCCACCTCGCCTCCTCAAGTATGAACTTCGATTACCAAGTTCTATAGGCGGTCTCTTTGCAGCAACTACAGTGCATGTTGTCATTGCTAGCTACGATCGGACGACACAACAGTACACACTAACAAAGAACAAAGTATATTGTTTACACTGCCGAATGTAGGACGTAATCAAAGTAAAACCTAAAGATGGCTGTTGTAACTTCAGGTCACCTCGGTTGTTACCCCTTTGGTGAGCTGTTCAGTCCGACAACCAGGTTCTTTATCATCAAACAATCTACACGGTTTCGAATCAATAGGGTGATTTTGGAGGAACTATTGTGGACAATGGTGTTCTGGAGGCCATCTAATCACGTGAGACCTCATCTGGCAAAAGCCCAGATGGGGTGGTCACACACGCACATCAGAATAAGCACTGTTCGCGTGGATCGCGTAGCTGAAACGATGCACAGTGAGAATGAAACGCAGTTAGCTGAGCTTTGAGGTTTCGGAATAGGCTGACCGAGGTTTACACAAAGAAACCTCGCGATACTTTGAGATTCTACTCACTAGTCACGGAACATTTATAATCAGCAAGGCAAGTAACCGGATTAGAGGTGATCATCCGATGAATCTGTAAAAACAAATAGCAAGCCAAAAAAGGTGTGACGAGCGGTGTGTCGCGCGCAGACAAAATCTAGTAACTCGGCAGATTATAACCTCTAGTTAAAGGACAGGCAATTAGGGTTTTTTGCGAACTTATTTCAAGACTTGACTTGTTTCAAGTTCATGAACCGAGCACAACTTGTGACTGCCAACAGCACTAGTGTGATTTCGAGTGACGTTTAGTTATCTAGCTGAACGGTTCAGTTCAGCACTCAAGAATAATTCTTCTAACCCAATAGGCACAACACTGGATGACTCTTCCATTAGAATTTCAGCCGCGACGCGCAATACTGTCAGTTTGTCTGAGCTTAGAATCCCATAAATTCGAATCGATAAGTCGCATCTTAGCCTCGGTGTCCGCTAACGCTCGTTTCACGTGTATTCAAGGTTGGGCAGTAGACAAAACTACATTTGGCTTTTATCTTGGAAGTGGGTTCGGTCTGTAAATAAAAGCTTGAAAGAACTGTATACAGTTGGTTTTTTCTAGCTAAAATTCATCAGCAGTGTCCATCCAGCGAATCTCCAAGACGATTTTCAACCGCAACCCTTTGAATCGTGGTTTGAGGCCTATCAATTAGTTACGAATGATTGATGAGTAAGTGATTAACTTACAAGGGTAGGTCTCTCATCCCTCCAAGACGCGGTACAGACCAAGTGATCCTGTGTCGACTGGCTCCACTGGCTCAAAGGCCTATGCAACTTCCTAATGGTTCCGAATGAAGCTTTTGCGCTATTCCCTATAGGTTTAATTCACTTAGAGAATCTATCATACAGACTTCATATCAGGAATCGCTTGTAGGAGAAAAACAATATACCGGGGAGCGAAAAGAGTGAACGTGTATTATTTGGTAATCAAATTACGTCCAACAGAGCCACTTCCACAAGAAGTCAAACTATCGACGGATGCGTGACCACAAGCGTGGACGAGCATGACAAAGTTACATTGATCAACTGGCCCGGGAGCAGTAAACAAATTTTAAAGCTAGATGGAGCGAAATTGCTCTCTGGTTGCGGTGGCTAAACACAGTAAGTGTGGCTATCTACGAGGGTCAACTTCAGAAATCAGGTCCCAAGGCCGGTGGATTAGTCAGACGTCGGTATTGCTAGTCGGACAAGGGGCCAGTAAAACGCCATAACCCTGTTATAAAGCAAGCGGGCAACATCAAGTACGTTGTGTTTAACCGAAATATTGTACAGAAAGGCTTGTTGAGGGTACGATAAACTCCGTCACTGGAATAGGAGAGCTATTCGATTTCCCTCTGTCGGATGTTATCTGTCGCTGCACACTGCCTGTGTGTGTATGCTTAAAAGCTGTGAATGGCCATGCACAGACGGAAAATTTTCACATTTCCTGTTATACGACTGCTAGGCAACGCATACGGCAAGGAGGAAACACAAGTGAACTGGCTGCAAATGTGTTCACCAAAATATGCTAAATACTGCAGAGTTCGCATTGCATGACCTTCAACGTTTGTTTGTTCCTCCTGGACTAAAAATTTGCATATGGATCTTGACGATGTGCAGGAGATTCTTTCAACAAGTAATGTTGATACATTATAAATGGATATTTATCCAGCAGGTAATTTTTTTACCTAGAAGTTGATGGGTTGGCTATGTAGTTGAGTAGTCACTGGCATTAAGCTGAAGCCTAAATGATACCCAAGTTTACATTGGTCCTCAGTTGAATGTGCTAGAGAAAGACCCCCTCGTGTTTCAGTTGAGAAAATGCTCAGGTGTTCAAGTATTTTCCTTGACATTGCTACTTAATTAATGTCATACTGAGAACTGTTATGCCATATATTCAAAATGGGATATTCATGAATTGACATATGAGGTTAGTGCACAGATCTCCAAGACTCGTGTCGGGTTTGCCAATTGAAGACACCTATGGCGGCAAAGCGTCCCTGAATCTCAAGGGACGTGTGTATCAGGCTACGCTACGGGCTGTTTTGTTGTATGGATGTGAGACTTGGCCTGTTCGAGCAGTGGAACTAAGAGGTCCTCAGGTGTTCGACAACCAGTGTCTCAGGATCATATCTCAGGTGGGTTGGTGTCAGCTAATCCGTAACGAGACAATCAGAAAGCGAGTGTTCGGTTGTGATACGGATACTTCAATCCAAGAATGTATCCAGCAGCCGAAGGTGCGTTGATTAGATCATGTATTGCGCGTATCAAACCATCAGTTTCCAAAGAAAGTGTTGTTTCCCGCACACCGTTAACAATGACCTTCCAAGTTTCTTTTTTTAGACTTCGATACAAGCTTCGATGGAAGAAGAGATCTTACACCACTAGTAATAATCATCAATGATGACGGGAGATTCCGGAATGTGGAAACAGGTCACTGTGTTTTAATGGAGACTTCCGATAAAAAATATGAATAGTGGCCTGAGGATTCAAGGGAGTAGAACATGTTTGCTGGTAGAGATTCAGGAATTTTCAATCGCCAGTTCGTTTAGTAAGTGAATTCAATCTATGCTGAGAAGCTGAGAAGTACTGAACAGCTGTTTCATTCTTATCGGGAGTCATCAACATGCGCATTTCACTAACCACCAGAGTAATTCGAACCCGCGACCTCCTGACCGGTAGGTTAGACACTAAACCGACGGGCTAATCGGCGCGAAGCATGTGACCCGCGCTGTTTGCCGTATCTTCCAATACAAACGTACTGTGCGTATCTTTCCGCTATAGAGCAAAGATAGACGCAATGGGTTCTACTCTCTCCAGTTCAACACCAACGATTTAGTTACTGTCAGAGAGCAGTCAACTCCAGACATACTGGAAAGAAAAAACTGGGTGAAATCGAGGCTTTGATTTGATCTCAAGGTTAAGACTAAACTACCAAAGGAACGGCTGCCGCACCAAAACACATTTATCTTGGACTGTACCACAGTTTTATATTTCAGACCTAGCACAACAATTTTAACTGTGTTTGGAGACCAACTGCAAGTCCAGCGTGGTAACAAGCATTTCAAGTTCTGCTACCCAGCTGTTGCACAAAAGCTACTAACCAAAGATTTCCTAATGAAAATCCGATGCATACAGAGT